CCATATGTTTGCATTCAGTCATATGAAGGATTCTGTTAGGTAGTGTATTTAAAAAAATAATAAAAGTTAGATTCGGTTTTAGGTTTAACATTTATGTGATATAATAGTGAGCAACATTTAAGATATACAATTTATAAGGTTCAGTATTCAGTATTTATTTGTTTTGGGTGAGTAAGTGATCTTTGAGTATGAGACATGAATTTATAAACAGGTGTGTTTCATTATATTTACAGGTAATAGAATTCCAGAAATTAGGGCCTTTTAATGTGCATTGAGTTTTTGCATAGTGTGAGAAAGAACCCGAGGAACATCAAAGAGTGATCTGTGCCTTGTGATATGGTCATGTGTTCTGTTGAGGTTGGCAAGGAGATGTTTTGAGGGGAAGTGTTAATATCAGAGTTTAAGTGTTCTATGTATGTAATAGGTGCAGTAATAAGTATGATTGTTTTGTATGGTGAGTAGTTTATGTAATGAATATTGGTGGAGTGTGCTGCCTGTAGTGAGAATTTGTTATCATTCTAAACTGCAGGCCTTTTGTTGGGTAATTATGTCTGAGATTGGTTAAATTGTTGTTGAGGCCCCCATGCACAAATCCATAGGTGAGATGGTAAATAGAGAGTGATATGGGCCAGGAGGGCTGACTGTGAACTAGTCCCTTATAATCTTAGAAAACTTCCCTAACACTTATTAATAACAAGAAAACTTTATTTTAGCCTAACCCAACTAAATAATTTTAATTTTGTTTGCCAATAATTTAAACTAAACAAACACATGAAATATATTTGTTTCGTTAGTTCAAAATGATTTTTGGCGAAATTATTGCATACACTAAATTTTTCACATTGTCCTATATGGCAAATGAAAACGTTTTGCTATTTAAAGGCAGATCGCAAATTCTGCCTATTCGCACGACATATATATATATATATAGATAATATAATATAATATATATATTATATATATATATTTATATATATATACATATAAATATATACATAATATAATACATATATATATATATATATAATATATATATTATATATATATATATAAATATATATAATAAATATATATTATACAACTAAATTCGAGGGTCCACTGTACATATATACAATAATGTCAGGGGCCCTGAGAAAGAGGACTGTTCAACTGCCTCCCCAGCATACATAAGTGGGATTACCATAGACCCCTGGCAGTCTTCAAGCTGGCACTGGACAAGCACCTAAAGTCGGTACCTCGAACCAGCCGGCAGTGGCTCGTACGTTTGGTTTGCGTGCAGCCCACCAATAACAGCGGTTGATCAGCTCTGATCCACCAGAGCCTTGGTCACATACCGGGCCGCGGGGCTTTGACCCCCACGATTCTCTCCAGGTAAACTCCAGATATATATATATATATATTATATATATATATATTATATAAATATATATATATATATCTGTTATGGAATAGAGAAAAGAGAATGAATGTGTAAATTCAAGAATTAGTGGATTAAATTAAGGTTGGATGCGAGAAGTGGGTCTTAATAAGCGTGTATGCACCTGAGAAGAGAGAATGCAGAGGAGATAGAGAAGATTTTGGTAGATGTTAAGTGAATGTATAGGAGCCTTTGATCCAAGTGAGAGAGAATTTGGGGGGTGTAGGACCTGAATGCTAAAGTAGGAGAAACTTTTAGAGAGGGTGTGGTAGGTAAGTTTTGGGGGCCAAGGTGTAAATGATATGGAGCCCTTTGACTGAACTTATGTATAGAAAAGGGGTTTAGTTTAAGGTAATACATATTTTAAAGAAAAGAGGATAAATAATTATACAAGATATATGTAGGGGCGAAATGACATAATTTTTTTGGATTATGTATTGGGTAGAAAAAGACTGTTGAGTAGATCTTCAGGATGTACAAGCTTAAAGGGGCCACAGATATATCAGATCACTTTCTAGTTGAGCTACACAGAGATAAAAGTTAGATGGATACAAGGAGAATAGAAGCATCAGGAAGAGAGAGGTGAAATGTTTATAAACTAAAAAGAGGCAGTTTAGGGTAAGATAAAAACAGCTATTGGAGATAGATGGGGCTAAATGAGAGCATAGGCAATGGGATCGAAGAGGTATGGTAGGTTTTAAAAATGTAGTGTTAGAGTGTTTCAGCAGAAGTTTTGTTGGTTTACAGAAAGGGGTGCGGGGAGGAATAGGAGCGATGGTGGAATGATGATGTGAAATAGAGTAGTAAGGAGAAAAAGTTAGCAATGAAGAATTTTTACAAAGTAGAAGTGTATGCAAGGAGGGAAGATATATGGAGAAAAAGAGAGAGGTTTAAGAGAGTGTGAAGCAATGTAAAAAAGAGAGCAAATGAGAGAGTGGGTGAGATGTTATCAACAAATTTTGTTGAAAATAAGAAAAAGTTTTTTGGAGTGAGAATTAACAAGTTAAGAAAGCCTACCAGAACAAATGGACTTGTCAGGTTTAAAAATAGGAGAGGAGAGTTATTAAATGGAGAAGTTAGAGTATAGTGAAGATGGAGGGAATATTTTTGAGGAATTGTTAAATGTTGATGAAGATAGGGAAGCTGTGATTTCTTCGTGTATAGGCAGGAGGTAACAACATCTGTAGGAGTGAGAAGAAGCCATTGTGAGTGTGGGGGAAGTTCGTGAGGCAGTAGGTAAGATGACAGGGGGTAAGGCAGCCGGGAATTGATGGTGATAAAGAATAGAAATGTTAAAAGCAGGTGGGGATATAGTTTTGGATGTTTGGTGCAATTATTTAATAAATGTATGGAAGAGGGTAAGGTACCTAGGGATGGCAGAGAGCATGCATAGTTCCTTTGGAATAAAGGCAAAGTAAGATAAAAGAGAAGTGCAAAAATTATAGGGGGATAAGTCTGTTGAGTAACCTGTCAAAGTGTATGGTAGAGTAATTATTTGGAAAGAATTAAGATTAGGACGAAATAGGAATAGCAGATGAACAAGGAGTCTTTTTAGAAAGGTAGGGGGTGTGTGGACCAGGTGTTTACAGTGGAAACATATAAGTGAACAAATGTAGATAAGCTAAGAGGTCTTGTGGCATTTATGGATTTGGAAAAGCGTTCACAGGGTGGATAGGGGGGTCAATGTGGCAGATGTTGCAGTGTATGGTGTAGGAGGTAGCTTACTGAAAGCAGTGAAGAGTTTTTACGAGGATAGTGAGGCTCAAGTTAGAGTATTAGGAAAGAGGGAAATATTTCCCATAAACGTAGGCCTTAGAAAGGATGTGTGGATGTCACCGTGGTTGTTTAATATATTTATAGATGGGGTTGTAAGAGAATTAAAAGCGAGGGGTCTTGGCAAGAGGCGTGGAGTTAAAAGAGAAAGAAATCACCACATAAAGTGGGAGTTGGTCACAGTTGCTCTTTTGCTGATGACACATGCTCTTGGAAGACTGAAGAGAAGTGTGCAAGAGATGTGGATGAATTTGTAGGGTGTGCAAAAGAAGAAAATTGAAGTGAATACAGGAAAGAGTAAGGTTATGATATAACAACAAGATAGGTGATGAAAGATTGATATCAGATTGGAGGGAGAGAGATGAGTAGGTGAATGTATTCAGATATTTTTGGGAGTGGACGTGTCGCGATGGGTCTATGAAAGATGAGGTGAATCATAAATTTGATGAGGGGAACAGGTTGAGTGGTTCACTTAGGATCTGAGGAGACAAAGAACTTGTCCTTGGAGGCAAAGAGGGAATGTATGAGATTATAGTTTTAACCAACGCTCGTATATGGGTGTGAAGCATGGGGTGTGAATGTTGCAGCGAGAAAGGCTGGAGGCAGTGGAGATGTCATGTCTGAGAGTCAATGTGTGGTGTGAATATATAAAGCAAAGAATTCGTAGTTTGAATTAAGGAGGAGGTGCGGGATTACCAAAACTGTTTGTCCAGAGGGCCTGAGGAAGGTTGGTTTGAGGTGTTCGGACATGTGGGAGAGATGGAGCGAAACAGAATAACTTCAAGATGTATCAGTCCTGTATGGAAGGAAGGCGGGGTAGGGGTCGGCCTAGGAAAGGTTGGAGGGAGGGGGGTAAAGGAGGTTTTGTGTGCGAGGCGCTTGACTTCCAGCAGGCCATGAGTGAGTGTGTTTGATAGAGTGGAATGGAGACAAATGGTTTTTTAAATACTTGACGTGGCTGTGGAAGTGTGAGCAAAGTAACATTTATGAAGGGGTTCAGGAAAACCGCAGCCAGACTTGAGTCCTGGAGATGGGAAGTTACAGTGCCTGCCACTCTGAAAGGTAGGGGTTAAATGTTGCAGTTTAAAACTGTAGTGTAAAGCCCCTTCTGGCAATACAATGATGGAGTGAAGATGGTGAAAGTTTTACTTTTTCGCCAACCCTGCTTGGTGGGAAACGGCCAGTGTGATAATAATAAATAAATTAATATATATATATATATATATATATCTATATAATATATAATATATATATATATATATATATATAATAATATAATATATATATAAGAACAATATTTACTATATATATGCACGTGAAGTTAATAACAGTTCATTCAAGAGTAGTGCTGGAAGTAAACTGCTTAATCATCTTTAATATAGCCCATCGATACCATGCCTAACCCTTCTAGGGTAGGGTAGGTGCTTGAGCCCGAGTCTTTAGCTCATTCCCATTTGCCCCCTTGGGGCGGGGATGGCAGACCAGAGAGGCCTAGCTTGTGGCTAGGCCTGGGGACAGTTGGTCCCAAAGATGAGGAGGTACTTGTGCCTCCTCCCATGGGAGATTTAGGTCTCAGACACTCCCTAAAGAGGGAGCCAAGGCCGGGCCACCACTTGGAAAAGGCCCGGGCCGGGAGAATACCGGCGAATCTTTAATAATAATAATAATCTTTAATATAATACAGGTTAAGGATACGTGACCATTGAGTTGAAATTTTTATAAATTAACTATCTCATTGTGTGAAATGATGTGGTACCGAACTGGGAAATTTTTACACTGAATACCTTGGGCTCAAGAGTGAGAAACTAACCTTGGGAATCTCTTCTGATGATGGTTACGCCCACCTTCAGCCATTGCAAGTAGAGGAACGCGTATTTCATTATGCTAAAAATAAATAAATCAGTAAGCAACTATTAAGTAACTAAATGTTGGCAGTGTTAAAAAAATTATTTAAGGGTAGTAATAATTTACTTATATTTAAGTTTTAAAAGGCTGTCTAGTGCATCATTCTGGACAAACAATAAAATACGGCGGAATGAATCGTAAAAGATATATATAAGAACAAGAGTAACCCCAATACAGGCGGCTTCAAATCTTCACAGATTTGTTTTCAATTCCTAAGCACGTTTAATTTAAAATTGTCTCCCTCGGAGAGATATTCAACCTTGTAGTGGATGCGAGTTAAATCTTTAGAACTCGAAGCCTCCTTTCGGGGCCTTCCCTACCTCCCCCCCCCCCACACACACACAACACACACAAGATAAGATAAGATAAGATTTCGTTCGGATTTTTAACCCCGGAGGGTTAGCCACCCAGGATAACCCAAGAAAGTCAGTGCGTCATGGAGGACTGTCTAACTTATTTCCATTGGGGTCCTTAATCTTGTCCCCCAGGATGCGACCCACACCAGTCGACTAACACCCAGGTACCTATTTGCTGCTAGGTGAACAGGACAACAGGTGTAAGGAAACGTGTCGAAATGTTTCCACCCGCCGGGAATCGAACCCGGGCCCTCCGTGTGTGAAGCGGGAGCTTTAGCCACCAGGCCACCGGGCCACAAGAGAGGTTGACAAGGTTCATGTAACCGGGAGAGAATGGACTTAGGTGCGACCAGCGAGGAGGGAGGACCAGGAGCTGTAACTCGACCCCTGCAAGTACGTATAGGTGTGTATATATAAGCGAGTATACAGTACAGGCGGCGTTAAACTACAGACCACTTTCTGACTTGCATACCTTGCAAGGTAATGGAGAAGCTTATCTGGGGAGGGTGTTAGAAACTTGGAGAGAAGTGGATTCATAAGTAATACATATAATCAGAATGGGTTTAGGGATGGGAAATCTTGTTTTACTAACATGATGGAGTTCAATAACAGTAACATATGCAGCAAGAGAATATGAACAGGTTCGGGAAAAAATATTTGGCCCTTTTTCCTGCAGCCATTTGAATTTTCCAAGTCTACCACCCCCATCTTTCACACACACACACACACACACACAACAACACAGCAACACGGGGACACAGTTGGAAGCTGAAGACACAGATGAATCAAAGGGATGTTAGGAAGTATTTCTTCAGCCACAGAGTAGTCAGGAAGTGGAATAGTTTGTGAAGCGTGGTAGTGAGGCAGGATCCATACATAGCTTTAAGCAGAGGTACGATAAAGCTCATGGTTCAGGGAGAGTGACCTAGTAGCGACCAGTGAAGAGGCAGGGCCAGGAGCTTGGACTCGACCCCTGCAACCTCAACTAGGTGAGTACAACTAGGTTTAGTACACACACGTAGTGTGTGGTCACAAGCGCCAGGCTTCCCGGAGAATTCTTAAGGCTTTTAGGGCGTTTTTAAGTCAGCTAGAGCACTAGTGATAGTGAAAAGCCACGTCATGAAACAACCTAAAAGTGATAACCAAAGTATTAGCAAAAATAAATAAAGTAAAGGCGAGAGAAAAGCCTGAAATTATACAACAAAATTATTCAAAGTGCCAGTTCGCTGAGGCTTAGTTGGCACTTGAGCCACATTGTTACAATATACAAAGTACAAAGCGAGTGACTAAAGAGAAAAGATCAAATAGGATTAAGAGAGTTTGGCTAAGAACGGACAAACTGTGATGTAAAACACACAGCGTGAACAAGCTAGCCAGAAGGGGCTATAATATAATATATTATTAATATATATAACTATATATATATATAATATATATATATATATATAAATAATATATATAATATACATACATATACATAAATATAAATAAGCAAGAGGTGGTGGCAAGCAGTAGGCCTGAGGAAGTAGCGCCGCCATAACAGGTTGGTGTCATCACAAATAAGACAGTGGTAGCATACCAAAAGTGAAGTGTAAATTATAAAAGTAGCAGTATACAATTGATAAGTGTGGTAAATGAGGACCTCAAAAGGCAACGAGAAAGAATAGCTGAAGAATCAACGGCGGAAGGGCGAGGTGCACAGAGTCATGTACAGCGAGCATCGTACAGCGAGCATCGTCATCGAGGCTATGGAATGGACGGTCCCCTCGGAGGAGTAATGTACAAATCACCTGTTTTGTGGATGGCGGGAAATTTGGAGTGTAGAGCCGGCCCTACAATCACTGGTAGCTGGCTATCACAAACCCTGCCCAGAGCGATTATCAAACACACAAACCTAGCATAGTAAGGAAGATAAAATTTGTAGGAGCAAGGAATAGGCAGGAGGATTAAGTCGTGGCTAATGATGGACTACAGCCCCATGACAACAGTGTTTCTAGAGATAATGTTGTAGGACACAAAAGACAGTACAATCGAGAAGCAAGTATTGGGTACACATTTAGTAAAAGTGTACAAAACTGGGTAGAAAGATGACTTGTTAAACACACGCTATTTAAATTATTAGAATTGACTCTCAGTGATAATGGTATCTTATTAGTATTTACTGATACACAGAGGTGAATGTATTTCCGGACATTAAACAACTGACGTGCTCACACACACACTGTGCACACACAACACCGGGGCCAGGAGCTGAGTCTCTACCCCCTGAAACCACAACTAGGTGAGTTACACACACTGATCCTTGGAATTTGACCGCATCCCTCACCCCCCCCAAACACACCTTTTCCTCCCACACAGACCTTTTCCTTCCCCCACAGACCTTCCCCTCCCCCCTCTTGCCTTCACCTCCCACCTCCCCCTATCTTTTCCCATCTCCCGCCTCCCTCGCGTTTCCCTCTCATAGCCTTTTTCCCCTCCCCTTCCCCCTACTCTGTCTTTCTCTCCCTCCCATCCTCTCACTCTCTCTCTCTCTCTCTCTCTCCCCTCTCTCTCTCCCTCACTCCCATAACCCTATCTCTCCACCCTCCTCTCTCCATTTCTCACTCTCATAGCCTTTTTCCCTCATCCCTCCTTTCTCCTCTCTCTCTCTCTCTCTCCTCTTCTCTAGCTCTGCTCTCTCTCCTCTCTCGTCTCATCCTCTCTCCTCTCCTCCCTCTCCCTCTCTTTCTCCCTCTCTCTACTAACCCTTTCTCTCCCCCTCACATTCACCTCTCTCTCCCCCTTGGACTTATCCCTCACCCCCATACTCACTCCTCTCCTCTCCCCCTTGTCCTTATATCCCTACACCCCCATACTCTCTCCTCTCTCTCCTCTTTCTACCCTTTCACTCTCCCCTCGCACCCTCCCCTCCTCTAGCCTTCTGTCTGTGGTAAAAAAAAAAAAAAAAAAAAAATGGGTGCCCCTAGAGGACGGAAAACCAGAGATCTGGTATACGAACCAGGAGGACAAGACGGGAGTTAGAGCTCCAAAAAAGGAGGAAGAGTGGGAAGGAGATAGTAGAGCTTGGTAAGAAAATGGAGGAGCGGATAGCTGAAGAGTGTCAAGGAAGTGGGAAGTACAGGCTAGCAACAGAAGCTAGGATACAGTGCTTAGAAGAGAAACTACAAGCCTGAAACAGGATTAGAGAGACAAATTACAATTCAGATGTGACAATCAGGAAATTCATGTCAGCGTCAGACAAGGAATGGTAAGCAACAACGGAGACAATCCGGTACACGAAGGCCCCACAGACCCACGTGGGGCCAGGGAAAGAACGAGGAGCACACTAAGATCAAAATGACAGGTCCGAAGACAATGAAGGTAATGCATATGCAGAGATTCTAACAGCCAACTGCAGTAAGCAAGGGACTGCTGTCATGAAGACAGTTCACTGAGAAATAAAGTTCAGATAAACAGGGACTGAAGGCAAGACCATGTCAATGGAAGGAATAAAATGCCTCAAGGAAGCAGATGGAGACTCAGTGGAGGAGGAAGGGCGAGGTCAGTTTTTGTGTACGGGCTCCCAAGAAGCACAGGGGGACAACTTTTGAAGAAATAAAAAACAGGAGGAGAAAAAAATGATTGAAGGCATCATAGAAAACAATAGGCAGGGCGATATGACCCAGGTGACAAATCTTCAGAGAATTGGGTGGTTTGCGAGTGAAGATACGGCCTGTCAGAGTAACTTTCAAGAAGAATCCATTCGAACCAGGTTCTGCAAGAGAAAGCAAAGACCTTAGGGACCAAACAGGGGTACCAGAGAGTATACCTTTGACCGCGACAGAACACAAGAAGAAAGGACTACACTGAAAGAGATGGTACAGAGACGCAATGAGGAACGAGAGCAATGAACGAAAATGAGCAGACCCCATACACAGGAGAAGGGCAAACACACCTCCACAAGAATCACCCACCAAAAGACTCCAACCGCGACATTCCAACGTAACGTGAGGCAACATACACAACCCACTCACTGTTCCCTCATGCCACCAACCCCCCATATCAAAAACCTCAACCTCCAACAGCTGTCCCTTATGGGCATTCTGACCCCACCCCCACATCACAAACCCCACCTACACCACAGGCCCACCATAATAGCCCCCGACAAGGCTCCTCGCTCATCCCCCAACCCCAATATACATGCATGACCACAATGATAGAAAAAAACTTAAAGTTTGGTACACAAACGCGATGGAAATACAAATAAACATGAAGGAGTGGGAACGAAAGGAACAGTGAAAAATCCCCAGACATCATAGCATTCACAGAAACAAAACTCGCTGAGTACAAAAACAGACACAATCTTCCCAACGGGATATCAGATCCTGAGGAAAAGATAGAAGGAGTAAGAGGGGGAGGAGGGGTTGCACTCTCAAAAAACACCGATGGGGATTTGAGAAATGGAAGACATGGACATGATTGGGAAAGAGACTACATTATAGGTACAGTTCAGTCCTGAGAACATAAAGTAGTCATTGAGTGATGTAAAACCCCACCACCAGCACTCTGTGTTGCTTAGTATAGTCTCCCAGCTTATATCGGTTAGGCTTGGTTTACTCGTTGGTCCCCACTTTATGTTTTTGT